ATATATAAAATATGCTTGCTTATAAGGAATACATATATGTGGGAAATTTACCAAAAAAAGAATATGTGTAAATATAAAAAAAAGTGTGAAACAGAATTGATTTTGAACAACAAAATGTGATTAATTCAAGAAAAAGAAAACAAAAATAATATTTCGGAAATAAACTTAAGATTAATACAAATTTAATTTCTTTTTTTTTTTAAGTTTTTTCGTAGTTTTAGTGTTTTTTTTTACGTTTTCAATATATTTTTTTTTTTTTTTGTGATTATATATGTTGTAGAATAATTTACGACAAGTTGAAGCTTGCTCTTAACGTGGCCAACGCAATGTCGCTACATAATAAAATATACGGGAAAATATTTAACATTGACAAAGAAATTTTAAAAAATATTTCAAAACGATTTCAAAAAGTTTTCATTTGAACACTTGCGGGGTCAAGAGGTGAGGGTGAAGCACTACTAAACGGTTCATAGGACAAAAACACTCCCTTAGAGCATTGAAACTGTAGTTAAATTGTGATTAAATTTGTTGTCTGTTTTTGGTTATTTTGTGAGGCTAGATTATATTTAGTTTGTGTTGTAAATCGTTTTGATTTTTTAAATTGCTTTGCCAACGTTTTGATGTCCATTCTCCTACTCCTCGATTGTGTAAAGGAAATAGTAGTGTTCATTATCGTTGACAGCTGCTGGTGGTGCCTTCGGTGATTTTCTCGACAGCGGTTCGAAGCCCATAAACAGGAATGCCTCGATTAGACGTGCACATTCCGGCTGATCCTTGCGCATAACCAACACAATGCCGTCGACCTCCAACTTATCCTCGGCGAACTCTAGCAGCGATATGAATGTCTGCTTGGAGCCACCTGGTGGCAACTCAGTGGGAAAGGCGACATATAGAATGTTATTCGTCGGATTCAAGATCGACATCCAGTTGGTTGATATATCCTCGGTAACGTGCAATTTGATGGAGATTTGCACGGGTTGATCATGCTGCAAGATCTGACGCAAGACCTCCTGGGAATCATCCTCTGAACATATCGAATGTATGTCCTGCGACTCCGCATCGGAACAAACCGAGGACGAAGACGGTGAGGATGCCCGAGAGCTGGCCTCAAACAAGCTGCCGCCAGCCGAGTCGACCGAAGACTTACGGCTGTAGCCTGTCGAATACATTTTAATTAATTAAATTCATTATGAAAAGAATTCGATTATACTTACCCGTTAAGAGCGATGCCCTATCGTGATCTGTTCTGTGGTGGACAGGGACATCAGGACCACCACAGAGGCCCTACGCCGAGAGAGATGCGGTAGGACTCAGTCGACATGTTCGTGGCGCAAGACGAGGTCGAAATCGTACGGAGTTTGCCATCAGAACATCCAGCAACTCCGCTATCATTAAAATCTCTTCTAACAAAGGTACTACTAAACATTGGGTCGCTGTGAAAGATATAAAAATAGAAGCAAAGAAACCAAAAAGAACACGCAAGCGTTCACAAGTTAATACAAATTTAATGCTTTCTATTGAATGATCAATCGATTTTGTAGTTTAATCCTAGATCAAATTTACCAATTCATTTTTATATGGAAAAGTAGTGGCAAGGCACAAAACAGCTTTACGGCGCAATAGCCCAAGTAAAACTAACATACGACCGTTTAGAAACATGAACTTTATCGATAAAGTCACATCAAATTAAACACATTTTTTATGACGCAGACTTGTTCAGACTGTTTTCATAGATAAGAACGGGCGTTATCTGCGATAAAAATCTAAGAGCGGCGATAACACGACATGCCAGTCCGATAACTATAAATATCGCGACATCATGCCGCAGTTATACAACCCTGCGCGCACGCAGACTTTTTCACCACAGCATGGCGGCTTCGGCAGCTGTAGCACATACACTCGCACACATTCACTCGTAAACGTTTGCGCAAAGAAAAAACACCGAAAATTTGCAGCATCTGAAAAATACGCGTAAAATTATTGAATTATAAACAAATAATTGAATAAATACGCTTGAAAAATGTCGATCGGTGTACCAATTAAAGTTCTGCACGAGGCTGAGGGCCATATAATCACTTGCGAGACTATCACCGGTGAAGTCTACCGCGGCAAGCTAATCGAGGCAGAGGACAACATGAATTGCCAAATGACACAAATTACGGTTACATATCGAGATGGACGCACGGCCAATCTAGAGAATGTGTATATACGCGGCTCGAAGATACGTTTTCTCATACTGCCCGACATGTTGAAGAATGCACCGATGTTTAAAAAGCAGACCGGCAAAGGTCTTGGTGGCACAGCGGGCCGCGGCAAAGCAGCAATATTGCGAGCACAGGGTGAGTCAGGCATTTGCAATATACTTATTTGCTGCATCATGTGCTAATGTGCTCGTTTTTCTGTCGTTTAACAGCGCGAGGTAGAGGCAGAGGAACGGGTCCGCCTGGAGGAGGACGAGGTGGTGGCGGCCCACCTGGTGCACCCGGTGGTGGCGGACGCGGCGCATGGCAAGGCGGCCCAACAGGCGGACGTGGACGCGGCGGCTTGTAAACGAAGGAAGCGAACGGGTGCACATTCTACTAATATAATTTAAGGGCATTTAATCTTAGCGGGCGGGACGCATAAACAAAAATACATAACATGTTGAAAATCTTATTACAAAGTGAAAGAGAACAAATAAGACGATAAAAAACTTGAATTTCAAAATGTGAAACCCTTTGTTTTTATTTGGCCTGGGGAAGTGGAAAAAAAAACCCAACACCAATTAAAAGGACAAATGAACAAGAACATATAGATAATATATATATAGTTTATACATATATATCGTCGATTTTCGAATATTATACAAAGAGAGCAATTCCATGACAGTATTAAAATATGTATATAACTTGACTGTCGACGGATAGCTCTCTTCATTTCGCTATTCGCAGAACTGAGGGACAAAGGACATAGGCAGACAGACAGTTATATCGGTTATTTGGGGTTAGTTTGGGCAACGTCGAATATCATACAAAGAGAGCAATTCCATGACAGTTTTACAATCTTTACTGGACTGTCGACGGACAGCTCTCTTTATTCACTTATTCGCATTTTCGCTACGATTTCAATGGTTAATCAACATATAGACAACACTAACTATAATAAATACAGTAGACTGCTCATAAGAGCATCAAGAAAATGCCCTAATTTGAATATATTCTTTAGTTATTGTTCATACAGAGTAGACACAATTGGAATATACTGAATCCGCGTGCCGGGTTGACACTGGCACAAAATATATGCATATGTATAGAGGAACATTTCTATGCATATGTATATGTATTATTGCTGCCAATTAAACAACAAACTGCGCACTTGGCAAAGCGCTGGGAATTGAGAGCTTTTTTCTATAGTTCTGTGTAGTGAAAGCAGGGCAGGAGAGCCGGACAGGGGGCCATCCGGCATGTTAACTTAACGAGCACAATTGAACAGTGCCTCCCACCAGTTTACCTCCCCCTTCCTCCTGACAATGTGCAATCGATGGCACGTGCAGACATGCATGTGCAATTAAATCGCTTTCAATTAAGCAGGATACACATACATATATAAAAACCACCTACCCGATTTGATCCTCTGATATAGGAGAGTCTGACTGGTGTTGTTGTTGCAGCTTCTGTTGCATGTTAACGAGTGCCATCACTAAGCTCTATTATAACTGTATATATGTATGTGTATAGAAATGTATTTATATTTATCACAGTTACGTTCTATTTTTTGTTTCTTGGTTTGACTCCGTTATCACAGTTCTGATTGTTTTTAAGCAAAGGTCTAGAAGTTTACATCGAAAATGCTTCTGAAAGGTATATGCCTCTCTCTCGCTCTCTTTGTGTTTGTTTTGTTTACAACGATAAAGATTTGTGCTTGTATTTGCGTTTGTTTAGCTGTTAGCTGCTGTACCGCACCGTTAAACGTGTGTCCGCCAACTGAAGGCATCGCACTGGCTGGGGCATCATTTATTTAAAAAAAAATGAAAAGATTTAGTAGCTTCCCGACACAGATACACTCAAACATACAACTGCATGTTAATGCCTAAGTGTGTGTGGGTGTATGTTTTTGTGTACCATTGCTTACTTAGGTTATATAGGCATAAATATACAGTGGTACAGTTTAGCTATTGCAGAAGCAAAACTAGCTTTGGACCTGTTTATAGAAATCTCGTTCTGAAGGTTAAAAATCTATTGGTCCACGTCTAATTTCCCTGTTGTGGTAAAATATGGCAAATGAACAGAAACAAACAGTTGAATTCAAAAAATACTAATTACATTATGGCTGTTTCGACGGTCTATGTCTATGCAAACACACCAACGAAAATAGTTCTTGCGGCTTTTTTTCTTTTCTTTTATTAGAATTTTGTTTACCAGACAAATTAAGTGGGCCGAAAGATGCGATCCTCACATAAAAGTATATACATATAAATACATACACATGTAGATGGGTTTTTGTCGTTTTCAAAACATACGAATACCAATTGTGATCAACACGTGCGCCAATTTAAAGAGAAAAAAAATATAAATTGCAAATTAGCAAATTTTAAGTAGCTGTAAATAGCCGAAGAAAACAAACAAAAAGCGATAACGATAAACATACAGCTAATCGATGCCTGGCTGCGTGACGCGCTGTCTACAAAGGCCGTCACCAATAATACATTCATATATTTACATATATGTACATATGTATATTTATATATTTTTGTATATATGTATGCACGTAAGCAAGTGTGCAAACAAAAGCTTTTGCACATTTATACGTAAATTCATGTTTCAAGAAACATGCCCGACTATTTCTATGGAAGTATTGTTATTATAAATGTATATTTATGCAAGTATGTGGATCAGCTCACATTTTACACCACGTATTGATATACATTTTTTTTTTTTTTCATATTTCAAGTTAAGCATCATGATCACATAATCATTTAGAAAATGGGTGGTATCACGTGACAAACTGAAAATAGGTTAGTTTATTTGTTGAGTACATTTTGCTTTTGTTTTAGTACCGGTAAAACCAAAAACAAAGTTCTTTCAGCCTGTAATCTAGATAACAGTTGAGGACAGATAATGAAATCTATTGCCGTATAAACGAAATATGTACGTAAATGAGTTGCTTGAGTAAACACGTCAAATGGATGCAAACTGCTGCATTAAGCTGTCCGTAAATATGAATAGACGTTAGATAGAAAATTGTGACTTTAAGCAAATATGTGGCGCAATAAGCGATGCAAACACACACAACTTGGGAGATTTAATGCATGAGCATACAATTTTTATTTTATTTTTTATTTTCATTATTATTATAGCAATAAGAAAAGCAGCCAGCGATAAGAAAGTTGACAGTTTTATGATGTTTATCATGCTGATAAGATATTATAAACGTAAATGTGTAAATGTTAATGTGTAGTGGCAAAAAGTGCAGCCTCCATTAATTTTGTGACCTTATGAGTCAGCAGTTGCTGAGGTGGTTTTATTTTTCTCTTTTTTCTGTTCTATTATTCTATCGAAAGCTTCTCTCTTTGCTTCATTAGTCAATTGACCCAATATTGAGCTGTGCTGGCAACGCTCGTCTCACATATATACACATACAAGCAAGCCAACGAAAACACACTCTCTCTCACTCACACACATTTATAAATTTATGTACGAAGCTCACTTGCCACACAGCTGAGTTGCATGGTGAGTGGAAATTTCCATTGTTTGTAAATATGTACATGAATGCCCCTTCACTCTAATTTGTATGTGCGTGTGTGTGCATGTTTGTGCGTTGTTTTGTTTGTGATGTAATGTATGCGCATAGTGGACCAAATACTTTTTTGGATTTTAGACAAAGTTGCACTTTGTGGTTGATGCTTCTAACCGGATGACAAACGCAGCAGTAAATATAAATGACGCAGCTAAAAAAACAAACCGGTCTTTCTGCTCTTATTAGAATTGCTTAGCTTCTTGCAACTACACAAAGTCATAAGGGTCGAGTTTTTTTTGTTTTTTAATTATTATTATGTTTGTTTTGGCAACGAGATAAGCAAAGACTAAGTGCAAATAAAGCTGATGATGAGGCCACTCGTCGGATATGGACAATATGATAAGGAACATATACGCACACACAAAAATATTTACCGCATTATAACTGCAATTGCTAGCACAAAGCTCCGTTTGTTTGCAAGCAGACGCCTAGAAAGATCCAGACGCCGCCTCAACGAAGCACAGTTGCATTGCCTGACAAGTGTAAGCAATTCGTTGAATAAATTACGGTACTTGTTCAAAAGTTAACGAGAATCAAGAACTAAAAGCGAATGACATTTAAGCGACTCTACATAAAAACACATATACAAAAAAAAATTTCTCATGTGCATACATACATATGCTGTAAGTATAATAAAGGTAGCATTGTTAAATAAAATTGCGTTTGTGCTGAATGCAACGAGCGTTGCCAGATTTGTCTGGTCGAACATGTCAACAAAACAAATCGATGTCCCCTCAGTTGTTATTTTGCACGCAATTTTTAGCAATCAAGCTTTAATTGATTCGCGCATGAACAGCTAATAAATATTTATCAGTGTTTCTTCTCGCTCTCACTATATATTATTCGTCTCCATTTCAGTTGTGCCTTTGGGTGAGAGCCACATACATATGTATGTATGTGAGGCGTACAAGATGGCTGCTACGAAAAGAGAAAGAAAACATAATAAAATACGCAAAAAATAAAGTAAAAAATCACATTTCAAAAATACCAACATCATAGATTATATTTTTTGAAATCAATTATTTACTTTACCAGCCGTTTTCTTCACTTATCTCATGTCTTTGTTTGGTTATGTGGACTCTCGCACGCACCCACACACAGATACATGCGCATATTAGTACACCTCTGGGTACTTTTGCCTGCGTGTATGTGTGTTTGCATACAGCTCGTATGTGCTAAAATATTACTGTTATACCACCACCATCACCATACCGAATTTAATTTATTTTATTCTTTTAGCTATATACACTAAACTACAGCACTACATAGGAAACTTTATATGCATTTATTGGCAACCAACAAACTACATAACTTATGCCACCAATTGGATTGGATCCGATTGCTTACGGTATCCGTGCACTATTTTCCATTTTCTTTATTTTTATTTTCATTTTCTTTTTTATTATTCACTACAAAATCGATTATTTTTATCACTATATTTCATTAAATGGCTTCACACCATAACTTACAGTTTATTATTCATGTTTGATGGCATTTTTAAACTTAATGGTTGCAACTTAACGCACAAAGAAACAAAAATTTGTGAATTAATAGATTTGCTCTGGGTTAGAGAGTAGCGTTCGTAAAATCTGCACTTGCGATCTTATTAGTTCGACTGCTGAATTATATATGAAATGAAAAATTTCCTAACCAATATATGAAACCTACCACTGAAGCGATGATTATCAGGGACGATAGTTAGTCACGAAAGCTACAATCGATGAAGTGACGTTTCCCCTACAATGAATATATTATCGAATGTCACTGAAGCTTAAAAGATTAAGATTTTGTTTGAGAATTTTGGGTTTTAAGTCAAAATAGTTTACTTGTACATTTATTATAACAGGCAAAAAACACAGCATTTGAACATTTTTCTTTTGCTTAGATAGTTAGCATTAAAAAACAATTTATAATTTGCGCAGTACGAACATATTTCTCTTTCCTATCGATAGCAAGCTATTCTCATAGTCGATAACGACTGTGAACCTTAGTGCAGCATTGCCCGTCAATTTTGTGCGTTTCGATTCGGGGAAAAGCAAATTTAATCTGTAAAATAAGCTTAAATCCGCGTTCCTTTTAATTAAAAAATTATGAGCGCCTTCCCAGGAACGTTCGCGTTTGACGAATATGGTCGCCCTTTCATCATTTTGCGCGACCAGGAGCAGCAAAAGCGCATCACAGGCACAGATGCCATCAAGGTAAATTAAAACTATTGCAATTTGTAGGATAACGCAAAGGATTTGGAGTAATTTTTGTTGACAATATGTATTTCGAAAGGACATTCGTATTTTGAAGGCAAACAAGTTGCTAAACTGTGCATAGAATGACGCATCCTATGCCGAATATTCCAGATGTTCTTTGCAACCGGCATTTGCCGCATATAAAACCAAAACTTAATGAATAAATAGTAATATTACATTTGTTTGTTGCAAAATTAGGTATTGCACTTAGTTTGTACTTTATAGCACTGTTAAATAAGAAAAATGCTAGTATTTACCGTATGATTTGTGACGTCACTTATGCACTTTGAGGTTAGGAACGATGCACAGATGTTGCCTATCAGCCGGCTGAGTCACGCGCATTAATTACCATGTAAATTCTAACATGTTCTTCTTTTCTTGCAGACGCACATTATGGCAGCAAGGCAGATTGCCTCGACGCTGAAGACATCACTGGGTCCCAAAGGTCTGGACAAGATTATGGTCAGCTCCGATGGCGATGTCACTGTGACCAATGATGGTGCCACCATTATGAAGCTAATGGAGGTGGATCATGAGATTGCCAAATTGATGGTGCAACTGTCGCAGTCGCAGGACGATGAAATTGGCGATGGCACCACTGGTGTGGTTGTTCTGGCAGGCGCTCTGCTGGAGCAGGCCGAGGGCTTGATCGATCGCGGCATTCATCCAATTCGTATTGCCGATGGCTTTGAGCTGGCCGCTCAGTGTGCCATTAAGCAGCTGGATGCAATTGCTGAACCTTTCCCTGTGGATCCCAATAACAAGGAGCCACTCATTCAGATCGCAATGACCACGCTGGGCAGCAAGATTGTGAATAAATGTCATCGTCAGATGGCTGAAATGGCTGTCGATGCTGTCCTCAATGTGGCCGATATTGAGAAGAAGGATGTGAACTTTGAGCTTATCAAAATTGAGACTAAGGTGGGCGGACGCATGGAGGACTCTATGCTGGTCAAGGGCGTCATTGTCGACAAGACCTTGAGCCATTCGCAAATGCCCAAGGAGCTGAAAAATGTCAAGCTGGCCATACTCACCTGCCCCTTCGAGCCCCCGAAGCCAAAGACAAAGCATAAGTTGGATGTTACCTCTGCGGAGGATTACCGAGCACTGCGCGACTACGAGCAGGAGAAATTTAAGCAGATGGTCAAGCAGGTCAAGGATGCCGGCGCCACTTTGGCCATTTGCCAGTGGGGCTTCGATGATGAGGCCAATCACTTGCTGTTGCAGCAGGAATTACCCGCCGTACGCTGGGTAGGTGGTCCAGAGATTGAGCTGATTGCTATTGCAACAGGCGGACGTATTGTGCCACGCTTTGAGGAGCTGACACCCGAGAAACTCGGCTCCGCTGGACTGGTGCGTGAAATGGGTAAGTCTTGAACTGAATTACTCTCCAAAGCTAGCTCTAATCTCTTTGCATTTGCTTGCAGCCTTTGGTACCTCCAAGGACAAGATGCTGGTCATTGAGGAGTGCAAGAACTCCAAGGCTGTCACAATTTTCTTGCGCGGAGGCAACGCCATGATCATTGCTGAGGCCAAGCGCTCCATACATGATGCCATTTGTGTGGTTCGTTCGCTCGTCAAGGATTCGCGTATTGTTTATGGTGGTGGCGCTGCTGAGATTAGCTGCTCCCTGGCCGTGGCCAAGGAAGCTGATCAGTTGTCCACATTGGAACAATATGCATTCCGTGCCTTTTCCGTTGCCCTGGAAAGCATACCCTTGGCTCTGGCCGAGAATAGTGGACTGCACCCGGTCGAGACACTCTCGGAGCTGAAGGCCAGCCAGGTGGCCGAGAACAGGCCCAGCTTGGGTGTCGACTGCATGCTGACTGGCGATTCGGATATGAAGAATCACAATGTGGTCGAATCGTTGCACTCGAAGAAGCAACAGATTCTGCTCTCCACACAGCTGGTCAAGATGATACTCAAGATCGATGACGTGCGCTCCAACAGCAGCGGCATGTAATGTGGAACAAATCGTCTACACCTACAAACACCCATTTAGTTCACACACACACACACACACACACTCGCGCACACACCACTTCGCTATGCTCTGCTTCATAATACATATATGATTTATATATATATAAATATTTGTATAACTCTGTATTAATTGTTTACTGTTTATTAATCGAACACAATTCTTTGGAAAAGAAACAAAAATTCAACAACTAAAAATACAATTCACTAAAAAAAAATATTTAACTAAACCTTTTTGCCATTTATTGTCGCCAGTTGCTGGCGATTCAGCTTATCGAAGAAGAGCAAGCCAGCAGCGCGCTCCACCGTCTCGGGCGGCACCTGGAACACCTTCAGTGGCGTGTCGTTGCTGATCACCTGGTTGGGCATCACATATGCCTCCATGTGCAGCTTCTTGTCGGTCGCCTCGGCCACAATCACCTTGTAGAAGTGGGTGGGCACGGCTACAGTGTTGGCGCCAATTACCTCGTATTTGACATATGACTTGCCATCGTCCTCCTTGTGGGGCAGGTAGAGTGGTCCCGTACACACATAGACATTGGGATGATTTTGGGTCAGCTTGCGTACGTACATCTCCAGGGAGTTCCAGGAGTCGCGATTGAAGCCTTGGCCCACCTGCGGCGCCATGTTGGAGAGGAGGAAGGTATCTTCGCAGTGCTTCTGATGCAGTCGATGATTGCCGGCGGCGGCCATGTGACCACGATCGTAGCCGGAACGACGGTAATCGGTGTTCTGGGCGCGGAAGTACGGATGTATGCTTTCGTCTGGTCGGAAGTCACATTTCGCCCGATCGACTGCATCATTTTTGGCCACCGATGCGGCTGTCAGGTGCTCGAACACCCAGTGGGGCACACGATTGCGTCTGTCGTAGGAGAGGACGTAGTCGGAGTGGGAGCGTACATTGTCCAAACCGGGAAATCCGTATTTCATAATCTCTGCTATACGTGATGGCCGGGCAGTTAGATTTACTTCGCTGGCAGGTATCAGTTCAGCAGCGGAAACAGTGGAAAATACTGGAAATCCAGGTAATCGTGCGAATGTCCGTTGACAATATTCATCAGCGCTGTGCTGGCGACGCTCTGTGTAAGTACCCAGATAAAAGGCCCCTAAGGCTGTGGCGCCTATGGCTAGTATATTTTTCACCTTTATGCTTGTCATTTTATATGTACTTTAATTTACAATATTTACAAAAAAGGCCGTGCGCCTATTGCACAATTCTCACATTGCCAGCTGTTTCAAAAGGCAGTATGACCGTAGCTCGAGAAACGTAAAATACGATAGCCAAAAGCAACAGGCATGAGTTATCGATTATATGGTGCGTAACTTGGATAAATCAATTGAATTCTAAATTCAAATACGAATGGAAGGGTGACTGCAGTGTGTAAATTAAAATAAATTATAGACAAATATGTATAACTGACATGAGATATTGATAATTTGATGATTTACTTATCAATTATCAAATTAAAATATGAAGGGACAAGTGAAAATTCACCATAAAGAATATATATCGACAGCTCTAACTGGCAGTAGTTATCGATCGATGCCGTAGCCAATTAATGTAATTTCAAAATTCAAATTTTTGAAATATTAAGAAATGGGTGACCGTATTTCGACAAAAGATAATTATCGGAAATTTGGCGCGTTTTTCGGCTAGGCAGATCTGACAGATAATAAATTAAATATATATAAAAGTGCAGTGCCATAATTGATGTACATATTAAGATAAAAACGCGCACAAACACGCACCTCAGTTAACTAAGTTATTTATTATATAAACTTAAATGCATAAGTACAAAGATTTATCGTCGGCACGAAAGTTAAAGAAATTAATAAGTTAATTGGTTTTTTATTATTATTTGTTGTGATTACGACGGCAATTTGCAATCAATCTCAATGAAAAATCACAGCGACACATTTGCGAACGTGTGTGTTGCGGCTGACAAACGGTGAGAACATCATTTTCGTCATTGTTAGAACTATGTGATGAGGGGCGAGGGCGGGCGCAAGGGCGAGGGTGTGTCTTATGGGAACTACTTAATTAGACCTGTAGCGTGCCAAACTCAGCACGTCTCCTTGTTGCAATCAACGAAATTACTAAATTCGGTGGCATTGGGCGGCCCCTCGCTATAAAGATAAGTAACGGGCCATAAACGGGCCGCTGCGAAATCGCTGAGACTCTGCAGACCGCCGGGCCGTGGCGG